TCCCTAGTGAATGAGATAGAGGGCAGGGACCCCTGTGAGCAGGCTTCTGAATGATACCCTCTCCCCAGTAAACCAAGGCCTTGGGCTTCTGGTTCTGCACATGTTACTGAGTTGTGCCACATCACTGGCATGCAGGAAACTTTTGTTGTAAAGCATGTACCCAGGAACCAGGGGAGCAGAGGAGAGGTCTGTCAGCGTTGAATTACATGCCAAAGTGTGTTTAAAGGGTATACTCTCATGTAATTTTGTATACAGGGCAGAAACTGGCAGGAAGTTGCTGCCTGTCTCCATCTGTCCTGTATTATTTTTAAGTTACTGAAAACTACTAGAAATGAAGAGAGTATATTCCCTAGAAAAAATAAATTGTAAGAAGCCATTTGCATAAAGTGTGTGGAGTTGGGTTGTTGTTTTGGTTTTTTTTTAAAGTAAAATCAATGAGCAACTTAGAAAATGTGAAGTGACTACCTTGCAAGAGAGCTACTTGTCTGTGTGATGTTGCATAAGCACTGTGTATTTCTGGCACCTGCACACAAGTGGAAATAGTGTGGTTCCCTTATTGTTCATTAAATTGACAAAAAAAGTTCTGATGATCTTAACCAGACCAAACAGTGCAAAATTCATTATGCTAATTTTCCTGCCACTGAATATAAATCTAACAGCATGATGATAACTGGCACCAGTCTTACCGTTGGCTCCGTAAAGCAGTCTTTCAGGAAGCAGAGAGCAAGGGATCCTTGACCACTGGAGGAGGAACGATTTGCAGGCTACATTTATGACCTTTGTAAGAATAACTTTTTTTCAGAGCTGTATTGCAGAGGCCTTGACCACCTCATCTGCAAGAGCTGGGGAGGAAAATGGCTTCACATTTATAAGAGTCTGTGTGCCTGCCCTCTGGAGTCTGTGATGAAGCATCTTACGGTCTGGTGGAGAGTGCTAGTAGACTAGGAAGCCTCTCAGCATGCACCTTTTGTCTTTCTGTTTAATGAGTGTTCTCAATTGCCTTGTAAAAAATAATCATTACAGGAGACTGAAAGCAGTGAGGAGTTGCTTCCTGTTGCCAGTGGGCTTTTTACCTGCAGAAGACCTTTAGGGCTGAGCTTTCTGGGGTCTTCATGCTAGCTGGATGTGGTCTGGACTGCAGTTTCTCGGGAGAGTATTGGTGGGTGCAAACTGTTTTCCACTGCATTGAAAATCAGTGATGAGTGCCTAGTGATCTCAT